AAAAAATTTTAGTAACTTCTCACCTGGTACAGTTGCAAACTGATAACTGAAAACTTGCTTCAGATCTTCTCTGAAACACTTAACAATATCCTTGCATCACATAACAGTGTACAGGGTAATAAGTATTATTTCCAAATATCAGACTTTTCAGTCTTTATAAGAATTTTTTAAATTATTGTTCTTACAGCTGTAGTCCTATAGTTCCCAGTGACATCTCTGCAGATTCATTCAAGGAGATGCTCTAGACTTTGACTAATGAAACTAGTGTGGAAGACAAAGTGCTACCTAACTGGTAACATATCTCAGTGTGCGACAAATCTGATTACTATGACTTAAGCTCTATGTAAGGAAAAAGGATGTTATTAAGTGCTAAAGAAAATAACCAAATATATCATTTTTAATACATATGCAAACTCAAAATTTATCATATATTTCTCTTTTCTGTTGGCAGAAATTTAAGAATTTTAAAGCTGCTGATTTATACCTATGCTTTGTCATAACATTCTAGCTTTTTAATAGTTATGTTGTGTTTCTGTCCTAGGTTTGAATACATTTCCTTCTCATAAAGCTCTAACCCTTATTGCTGTATCCAGATGATGTGATACACAATGCTTACAAATGGAAATGTATGTCCACAGATTCACATTTAGAATATAGTGTGAAAGATCAAGAACTTAGAATAACAAATTTGATTTCAAGTTAGATTTCTTTTTAGAGAGGAGGGGTACCAGAAATTGAACCCAGGGGACTTACCCACTGAGCCATAGCTCCAGCCCTTTTCATTTTTTATTTTGAGACAGGGTCTCACTAAGTTGATGAGGCTGGCTTTGAACTTGGGATCCTCCTGCCTCAGCCTTCTGAGTTGCTGGGATTACAGGCTTGTGCCACCAAGCCTGGCTCAAATTACATTTCTGACTTCTGTGATGGTGAGCAAATCATTTTTTCTGTCTGAGTCTGTTTTCTCATCTGCAAATGAAGAATATTAGTTTACAGGTTGGCAATGATTAAATAAAATAAAATTAAATAAAAAGAATAGTGTTACATGTAATATTTTATCAAAGATTTTCAGCTCAATAGTAATTGCTACTTTTCACGAATATCTGTGGGTTTTTGTTTGTTTGTTTAAAACTAAAACAGTGTTACCTTGAATATTTGCAAAACATACTTTGGAAATCTAACTAATTAATTTTCCAGAAAAATATAACCAAGCTTATTTTAAGATGGAAGATTATAACAATACTATTGTTTTGTTCAATAATATGATTCAAAACCACTATTTTAATTTTAACAATTTCTCACCTTATCTGTAATCTAGAAAAATTTCTTCAGTCACACATATACACAGATATATGTGTGTGTGTGTGTGTGTATATATATATATATATATATATATATATATATATATATATATATACACATACATATACATGTATCACACAATGTTATATATATGTGTATAAATAATACACATACAATATATGTTTATATATATACACATACACATACATAATGGAAATAAAAGCTATGTTCTAAATGATAATATAAATATCAAGTCATTTGCCAAATATGTAAATGGATGATAGAGCTAAAGCTAAGTTAATAAGAGACTGATCATAACAGACTTTTTAATATTAGAGTAGTATGGTTTTCTTTAACAATTTTACCATGAACATGTGAAAAGTAAGAGTAGTTATGTCTTCAGAAAACTTTTCATTAAATCTTTTTTGAAATAGTTTTATATATACATTTCTGTAAATTCTCATTTGCACAGATAGTAACAAGAAAAACTGTCCTCAAATACTTCACACCCATGGGGGTATTAGTCATTAATCAACTAATATTAATTAAGTCTATGTTTAGATTTCCTGGTTTTTGTTTGTTTGTTTGTTTTTTATCTAAGGGCCTTTTTCTGTTCCTGGGTCTCATTCACCATACCCTATTCAATTTAGTTGCCATGTCACCTCGGGCTCCTCTGAGCTGAGTCTGTATACCTTTCCATGTTTTCAAGGACCTTGACAAAGAGTATTGGTCAGGCATTTTGTAGACCCTCCCTCTGTTGTGATTTGACTGATGCATTTCCATGATTAGACAGCAGTTTTGGTTTGGGGAAGGAATACCAGAGGAAACATGCCATTCTTGTCACACGATATCAAAGGTGCATGCCATGGTCATGACTCCTCTTGCTGTGAGAATTTCTCAAACTTTGGGATCCTCTTAGCTGTTAATGTTGACCTTGATCAACTGCATGAGGGACTGACTGTTAGGCTTCTCCACTATAAAGTAATCAATTTTTATAAGGTTACACTAGAGGAAAATTTAGTGGACATTTACACTGAGTTTTAAAAAAATTCTGAGTAGATTTTCAATACTAATATTAGGTTCATTAAAGGATTAATGACAAATGCTATGAATACAATGAGCTGGAAAATCAAATGGGAGAATAAAACTAAAACAGTGTTATGTCGAATATTTGCTTAATAGAGGTGGAAGTAAATTTTTTTCCTTGAACTACCTGTGCAATTATTTTAAGCCTCCACACACTTTGGATAATAAAGATCTTAATCTTATTAATTGTAATAAGAGGTAATTTAAATTGGTAATCATTTTGCTTAGTGCTTTTCTATATGCCCTCCACTGAACAATGTACACAATATTGAAATAATGTAAAAGACTTGATATTTTCACCCCAGCTTTAACTATTTGTCATAAATACAATGTTTCTTGTATATGATTTTAAGATGTTTTACTAATACTAAAAATTTTAATGTGTTTGATTCTATATACTTTATCATATTGAATGTGTATAATTTCTTACTACCATGTTCATTATATTTAGTAATCTATATCCATATTTTGGACTCCACCAACATTTATTAGTGGACTACAAAGAAGTTTTAAGTGCATGAATACATCTTAAGAGGCACCACACTTGGTTATTTTGCAATGCCAAAATAACTGTAGTTACTCATCAATTGCATAGATAATCAAGATTATTTTTCCTCCAGTTTAAATTATTCTGGATTTTTATTCCCCTTTCCTTGACTCTACTTCATGATTTTACCTATGTACAACAGTAGACTTCCCCAAATGCTACATTTTTACCATGTAATAGAATTTGAGCATGTCAACAGTGTAAGAAAATCCAGAAGTCTCATACTAAGTATGTTTGAATTTTCAAAGTAAATCAAACAACAGCTGTTTTCATTTAACTATGTTGTGGAAACCTATGGACACCATTGTAAAATGCGTATGCATTAGACTTTCTTCACTTTCTTAAAATGTTTTTGAATTAATAAAGAATTCACCAATGTATCCTTAGACAAGTTATTGTTTCCTCCTTGGTATAACACTACAGGAATAAAGGGTACACTTACATGTGTTGCTTAAGTTGCTTATGCATCTGAGGAAAAATAAATTCTGGTTGGATTCATTACATTGTTCTATAAGCTTATTAGAATTTTGCACCTTTTATAATGAAATATATTCTTGAAATAACATGTTTTGAGAATTCAGCTGAGAGATTTATCATGTTGAGTTCAAATTACTCCAGCCATTTATTTCTGTAGTAAAAAAAAAAAAAAAAAAAATCAAAGTTGAGTTTAGAGTTAGGAAATAACTGCTCCTAGTGGGTATATAATGGGTATAAACAAACCTACTGTCCCATTCTATTCTTGGATCAACATTAAAATAGATTTCAAACACTATCTTACAGCAAGAAAATTTTGTAAAGTAGTGGACCTTGAACATACAAAGTGAAAGAATTGTAATAATTGGAGCTTTTAAGTAGCAAAACTATTTCCATTATGTCAAGGATCATTTCATTCTTTCATTTCACCTCCTTTTTTATGTAGTGCTAAGAGAGAGAAGCAATGCAAAAATGCATATTCTTTTTTTCCCCAATACTGAGGATGAGCCCAGTCGCTGAGCACACTAGACAAGAGCTCTACCAGTGAGCTACAATCCCCAGCCCCCAAATTATTTTTTTTGAAAGAATATTATACTTAACAGTTTTGGTTAGATGACTGAAGGATATTTTAACTTTGTTAAACGCTCCTATGATTTACCATTTCTTTTTTTTTTTATGTTTTCATTTTTTTAGAAAAATAAAAAGCTATTTCAAATAAGTTATCTCAAAAACAAAAACACACCATGGGGACACTGGTTAACACAGTTAGATCGCAGGGGATCCCAGATTGAACATTTAACATTTAACCTTTGCATTCCCAGGACTGTCTTGGTTGTATTTATTTCTCCGGTGGCCTGTGAACAACTGTTTTAAAAACTGCCAATAAACTTCAGTATTCTTGGCACCTATCTGTAAATTTTTTGGAAGTGATAAGCATCAGGCTGCCAGAGGCAGTTCTTCCTGTGCGCAGTGCTGGGGATGCCACCTGGGGAGAGGCCAGTGAGTGCTCTTCTGCCGAGCAGCACACCCGACCCAGGAGACCGTCGCTCAGGGCTGTTGTGTGGTAATCACACAGAATTCACACAACTGCATTAAAAGAAAAACATGGCTCAGTGAGGATAGACAGGCAACTGAGAGAAGTCACTTGAAACCAAGTAAATTACGTAGCAGACACAAGACTAGACAGCACGTTTTGTAAACTCATTTGGTTCTTGTCTCAGAAGAGCAATTTATTCCCACCCACCCCGCGAGGAGGCCTTTCCGACCCAGGATTAGAACCAGGTGCCGGCCCTCGCGGGCAGCCCTGTCCCGGTCGCCCTCTGCCACGCCCATCACTGTCGGAGACGCCCCTACTGCTCTCCGACCCGCCCCTCAGGACAGCCTCGCCCCTCTCTACGCCCCGCCTCTCCCCGCCAGCTCCGCCCCCACAGCTCTCCGACCCGCCCCTCAGGACAGCCCCGCTCCGCCCCGCGAGCTCCGCCCCCGCCACGCCCCCTCAATATTGGCCCTCATGAACTACGCAGCGTTCCCGTGCTGGCCCGGAAGTTCTCGCCAACGCTTCCGAGAGGTCTTTTAAAACCCGCGCGTGCGCTCGACGGGGGTGTGGCTAGCTCTCGCCCCTATTTCCAAGCTCTGTGCAGCGTCGCGAGACCTACTCTGTCCGGAACTTCCGGTTCTGATGGGCCTAGCTCTTTGGGCCGGCCATGCGGGGCGGGCTTCTGTGGGGTGCTGCCCGTGTTCTGTGGGCTGGCCGAGCTGTTGGCGCAGCCCGCCGGCCCCTAAGCTGCAGTAGCCCGCCGCTGGAGGAGCTGTTCGCCCGCGGCGGGCCTTTACGGACCTTCCTCGAGCGCCAGGCAGGGTCAGAAGCCCAGTTACGAGTCAAGGGGCCAGAGTTGGTAGCGGTCACCAAACTCCTGAGCGAGAAGGAGCGGGAGCTGCGGGAGACGGAGCACTTGCTGCACGGTAAGGGCCGCGCCAGGGGAGCGGCATCTGATCGGATTGTTTTTCCTCCTTTGCCCTTTCCATTAAGCCACTGGCCAGGTGTCCACACTACTGAGTTTGAAGCTCTTAACTAACTTGCAGCCTCTTTTTGTTTGTTTTGCATGACAGGTCAAGACATACTTACACATGTTCTTTTCTCATTCTTCCTTTTTGGCGCTTTTGTGCTCCCTTGCCACAGTGCTCCGCCCCACTGTATTTATTTATTTGTTGCCTATCCTCTGGCAGGAGCAAGGACAAACAAGGCACTCTACCCAGTGACGGGCTCCAGACCAGTGTAAAGAGGTGCGACTTAGGATTCGATCTTAAATCTAGGAATGTGCATTTTCTACAGTTTCTCAAGTGATTTTCATGCATTCGAATCTGGAATGGGCTGAACTTTCTGCACTGCTACCAGCTCCCAGGGATGCCAAGTTGCTGGTCCATGGGCCACACTTTGGGTGGCAAGGTTCCAGAGAGGGCTGCAGTTTATTGAGGGACACAGAATTAATTATACAGTTGATAAATGAGAACAGATATATAGAGAAGAAAAAAGACCCAAGTAAAGAATTTGTTGGTGTTGCAGAGGTATAAGAGCCTAACCATTATTAATAGTTTATTGATCCCTTATCATGCTTGAAGCTTTACTAAGCTTTCTTTATGGGTTAATTCATCCAGTTCACACAAGCTATGAGGTAGGTACTATGAACCCCATGTGACAGAAGAGGAACCTGAGTCATAAAGGTAAAAAGCAGCACAGATTATATATGGAGCCTCCACTCCATATAAGATCCACTCCAAATCTCACTCTTTTAACCACTGTTCTCTTGTTAATCTAGGAAGAGAGATAAGGGGAATGGCAGTTTGGAACCCTTTTGTAAAGAAAATCAAATATTAATCTAAGATAAGAGGTTGATTTATCCTGTTGGCAGAAGGGAGCCAGCAGAAGTTTTTTTATTAGGATGCAAATGATAGAGTTGGTTTATCACTTAGGAAACCTGATGTGTGGCAATTTAAAAGTCACCCTGGAATGGGATTGAAGATGCCATGAAAAGGGGGGGGGGCTAATGGAGTAGTGTGAGAGTTAAGAAGAGTCTAAGTGACTTAAGAGAAAAACAACATGTGATTTTTTAAAAAGAATTAATAAATGGTATTGAGAAAAAATATCTTGGGGAAAAATTAGATTCATAACTTAAGCCAGTCTTAAAATCCAAGTGGATTTTAGGAGTATTTTAAAAATCAAACTTAGAGATGTTAACAGACTGTTAGAAATTGTTGCTAAAAGAAATTGTCATTCAGGAAGTCTTGAGATATTATTATGTGTCAGACACCACTGATTACCAAAAAATTATGGATCAACCTTTTAGGAGCTTACAGCTTAATGAGGAAGAGAGATATTTAAGAAGATAAGTAAAAACAAGTGGGTGAATGTTTTAATTTCTATATTAAAGAGCAGAGTGTAATAAAAGGAAAAGTTGGCTTTTAAATGGATCTTGAAGGATAAGCAAGGAGTTGTCAGGTGGATCAAGAGAACAGAATTAAAGGCAAAAGTGATCAGTAAGAATAAAGATACTAAATTGGGAAATAGAATAGGTGTTGTGATAGTTTAAGAAAAACCTGAAGCCAGAAAGACAGTTAAGAACCTTGCATGACAAAAAATTCAGATTATTTTTTTAGACTATAAAAAGTTAGTAAGAAGTGACATCTTTCTAAAGAAAAATTATTGTTGGCACCATTGTTGAGGATGAATTGGAATATTCTCCAGAAATTAGAGTGTTAACAGAAGAGAAATAATAAATCTGGCATTGTATCTCCAGCAGTTGGATGGGAAAAGAGGAGATGACAATAAGCAATTACTTTAATGGTTGGAGCAAGGTACCCCTCTAGAATGGGGAAACTATAGGTGGTGTACTGTAAATATTTTAATGTATGATATTGAAAGACAAAACAATTAATATATTACCATTCCCTATGAATAATTCCTCAGTCTAAACCCTCTAGAACTTCTCTGTCCAGTGTAGTAGTCAGAAGCCACAAGTGGCTATTGAGTGTGTAATGTGACTTCAAATTAGTCAATTCAAATTATTGAGATATGCTGTAGGTACAGAATCTCAGTAACTTGGGAAGCTGAGGAAGTAGAATCATAAATTCATAGCCAGCCTCAGCAACTAAGTGAAGCCCTAAGCAACCAGACCCTGCCTCAAAATAAAAAATAAAAAGGGTAGGGGATATGGCTCGGTGGTAAGCCATATCCTGGGTTCAGTCCTCACTAAAGAAAAAGTTTTTCACATTTTTATACTAGTAACACATTGAAATTATAATATCTTGAATATACTGGTTTAAATAAAATGTAGTCTTAAAATTAAACTACTTCTAGACACTAGCTCCAATCTCCTTAGCCTTGCAGAACTGAACATTTCAGAACTGGAAAGGCCTCATAGAGTCATGCAGTTCAGAACTTTCATTTTACTGATGTCACCCAAGACTCCAGAAGTTGGGTCTGTTGCTCTAAGAGCAACTTAGGGGTTGAGTTTTAGCTAGAATTCATGTTTCTTTTCCTTAACTGCACATATTATCCATTTCACCTAGTTTCTTCCATACCATACCCTGTCCAATGTAATTTTCTACCTTTCCACCAGTGCGTCCTGTACTTATCTCCATTTTACTGATATCATAAGCTCTCCTTCAGCTAATTCTTTCCTTTAGCACAACTCAAAAATAAACTATGGCTGGGGATATAGCTCAGTTGGTAGAGTGCTTTCCTTGCTTGCACAAGGCCCTGGGTTCAATCTCCAGCGCCACAAAAACTAACTGGAAAATAACTCTTTAAAGGTACTGCTATTTACATATTTAATCACATAGTGCTTTCAGTTATTATTGTGGATTATTTTTTTCTCCTCTAGAAAAGTATAAAAAGAAAAAAATGATCTATAATCCTGCCTTAAGGGTACGTCTTATATTCCTACTATCACCAGAACCCCAGAAAGGTTGGTTCTTAACAGATAAGCACACAGATACTCTGTAAACAGAGTTTGATCTTTCACAGAAAGAACAATTGGTAATAGCTAAAAAAGGGTCCCATTTTCTCCTTTTGTAGGCTGTCTATTATCTATAGAATAAATGAGGGAGTATATTATGTACGTCAAAAATTAAAATTCAAAGATGAAACAAGGGTAAATCTAGAGAGACAGGAGCATTTCACATAAAGGTTAAGTAGGGTACTTAGTTATACTAAGGAAATATTTACTAAGACAATAACTTCCTACTTTTGGATTCAGTTTTGGTTTAAGTTCCCTCTCTGGCTTTTTGATCTTGCTAAATGTATTCATTTGTTATTGTACAGCCTTAGTTGGAAAACTAGAGGTTTGTTTTTTAATAGTTAGATTCATTTATACTTAATCATCAGGGGAAAAAAAGTTTCTCTTCTCACAGCTACTTGCTTACAAAAACTAATGTAGAAATGCTGTTTTTAATGTAATTATTAAAATGACAAGATAGACATTTTATTTTTCCCTTCAGCTATACTAGCAATAAACCTGTTACCCCGGAGACTTGTTAGCAGTTTAATAGTAAGTTAAGAAAAACTCAACTGCTGCCTTTTTTTTTCCTTAGATGAGAACGAAGATTTAAGGAAACTTGCAGAGAATGAAATAATTTTGTGTCAAAAAGAAATAACTCAGTTGAAACATCAGGTACAGTATTGGTATAAAGAACAAATCATGTCATTACTTCGTATGTATTTTATTAGAAGTTTATAATAAAATCAACAAGTAAGTAACTAGATTTTTAGTATTCAGAATAAGCTTTTTAACTTAAGTTTTTCCAGTCTTATTCAGGAGTAATTGACAAAAATTTTATCTACTGAAGGTATTCAATGCATACATTATAAAATGATTACCACTATCAACAAACTAGTCTTTAAAGTGGAAAAAATATACTTATGTGGTCCTATTTTTACACCAAAAGGATTGTAGAGCTCTCACAAAAACACAAATGTCTCATTAATAGCACTTTCTGGAAAAGCAATAAAATATCTCCCCTCTTGTTATTTTAAGGGATCAGAATGGACAGTGGGTAGAAGAGGTTATAAAGAGATGACAGACTGTGGGCACCTCAGGGGCAAGAATGTGTCTTTAGTACTATTAGAGTGCCGCAGTCTGGCTGGGCACCAATCAGGAGCCACTGAAGCAGGAACAAACTTTCTTTCTGAACTCCACCAGCACACTCCACACACGCTCCCCGGGAATCCTCTCCAACGCCACGCAGCTCCTATAGGAACCAGCAGCTGGAAATATCCCTCCTCCTGCACTTCCCCAACCAATGGGAAATCTCCGGGAATCCCCGCTAGAGCTCAAGGGGAACTCAACGGGAACTCCGTGAGAACTTGCTGGTGTCACCTCTCAACCACTACTTCTGGGAAAAATGCCATGTGTCATCCCAACTCGGCTGTGGCCCTCAACATTAGAGTGCTAGTCCTAGAATTCCAAAATGACAAGTTTTTTCTATTAAGTTTAAAAAACACAGATGTGATTTGAATCCTTTTTTCCCCCCCTTTGAGGCTTTAATTTTCAAAACACTAGTGCTAGGATCTTCTTTTGCATATGTACTGCTCACAAGGAGCAACTACTTCTTAATAATTGAATAGGGAAGTGTTTTAAAGCATATAAGATCTCCAAGGAAAAATAAAATCAAGCCAGTAAGTTTAAGATGAATTTTAAAACATTTATTATATTAATAATATTGGTACTCCATGGAAGTACCAATTTAATTATATGGTTTTAATTGGCAAGATGGTTGAATAGTACTCAGCAATGTTAAATTATTTGCTTAGAGAAATTTTAGGTTAAATATTTTAAAATCCTCTATCTGATCATTTAGCTTTTTTTCTTGTTATTAAGTTTCAAATAATTCTTAATTATAGGAGGGGTAATATTTTATGTTTACAGATTATCTGTCTTTTGGTTCCCTCAGAAGAAACTGATGAAAGTGATTTGATCCTGGAGGTAACTGCAGGAGTTGGGGGTCAGGAGGCCATGTTGTTTACTTCTGAGATGTTTGATATGTATCAGCAATACGCTGCATTTAAAAGATGGCATTTTGAAACCCTGGAATACTTTCCAAGTGAAATAGGTAAGTAAATTGTTCAATTTATTGACACAGTATAGTAGTATTTTATTTATCTACATGGGACCTAGAAAAAGGGTTGGCAAGACCATGACTGGGCTTCAGAACTTACTTGTAAGTCTTAAGCTGTTTTATGCTCATCATTTAGCTAATAATTTTGATTACAAGCACAGCAATTTTGAACAGCTTATACAGTCTAATGGATATTCATTCAGTACTTAATAATGCTGAATGATTAATGGTCTCTAAAAATGGCCTTTACATGTTTCATTGATGTCAGTTAGGTAGCACCGTAAATGTTATGTTTAATCATCATAAGCAATAAAGATTAAATGTCAAAGTAGGCTTGCCAAAATGAGTATATTTGCAATCTCTGTTTATGTTTTGTGATTCTTTTAAATATATTTCAAGATAGTAGGTATAATAGTCAGTTACTTATAAATGTCAGAAATAATAAAAAGAACCTATCTTCCCTATATTTTCAAGGTGGCCTTAGACATGCATCTGCCAGCATTGGCGGTTCAGAAGCCTATAAACACATGAAATTTGAAGGGGGAGTGCATAGGGTACAGCGAGTACCAAAGACAGAGAAGCAAGGCCGCATCCATACTAGCACCATGACAGTGGCAATATTACCCCAGCCCACTGAGGTAAGGTTAGTAATCCCCCCTTTTCTAGCATAGTGCCCCCTGTCCTCCACTCCCCAGTAACACTCAAAATTTTACTGAATTGAGTATTTCTTTCTCTTAGTATTTGGCCTTCCTCACATATTTTGAGTTAATTCTAAGAATCAATTATCTTAGTTCAAAATGTAGTTTTACAAAAGATGGTAAGAACTAAATATTTATAAATGATCCAGTCTTGCTTTATCAATTTACTTTTCTCCACCACTAAAATAGATATTGTGAGACCATCGCTCTAGGTAAAATAATACTAACCTACTTAAATATGGTTGGGTAGCCTTAATAATGACTTTGCTTTTTGTGACTGGATCCCCAGATATTATTAGAACAAGGATAATAATTAGTTAATACTTCATAGCCCAATCACATTAACATTGTTATGATAGTTCCTAATGAGTATTATTTATTCTTAAAAAAAATAATTCTCAGTCTAGTTTTGTATTTGTTTTTTAATTTCTCTTCTCCCAAAAAGTGATAGGTTTTCAACATTTTTCAAAATGAAATATACATGGTTTGAGAAAGAAATTTAATGGAGGGTTTCTGTTATTAATTTTGAGAGAAAAAGTGCTGTTTGACTCTATGTAATAGGGTTAATAGAGTTTCTTTAGTTCTGATGTTTGTGTGAAGCATAGATGAGGAACAGTTAAGGGAGAAAGTAAAGTAGAATAAGTAGCAGGAGTCACACCTAGGTACTAGTCACTTCTGGTTTAACTTTTTGGAGATGGTAGGCACTTTCAGGAAATGATGGGATACTGAGGTCCCTATTACCATCTGATGCTTCTAGCAACTCTAAGAATTATGTAGGGAGACATGGAGGGCTTAGGGAATGGTAATATTCTTATTGCCAAGATTGTGGACATGTCATAACGCAGTTCATAGCTTATGGAAACTTTTAAACATAGCGCTTCTTATAGTGACTCCTAAGACAAAGTGTTATCCTGATGTCAGATCACAGTGTATCCACTGAGTCTAGACTCTTGGCATCTTGGCTTTTGCTGTTTCTACTTGTCTTACCTTTGCCTTTAGATGTGTTTGAAACAAACCCTGCACTCAAGCTACCAATTTTTCCCCCTGTGCTAATCTTTTTGAACTCAGAAATAGTCTACAAATCTCATTTTAGCTTAACACATTTCTAATAATAGCTGTTTTGTTGTTCATGTGGTAAAAAGGGAGTATTTGCAGAGAAGCTAAGCCTAGTTTTTGAGGATTAGGAAGGGTTTGTTTTTGTTCTGTATTATACTTAGATTCCCTACTCTTCTTTAAAAAAAAAAAAAAAGAAAGGTCTAAAACTAGCATCATTCCAACTATTGCCTATTCTTAAAATTAAAATTTTAAAGTCTCAACATGAATAATATACATGACATGTATTTATTAAACAGTTCATCCTTATCTACATAGTTGATAAATGTAAGTTTTTAAAATCTTTTTAATCTTCTCTTTCTATGTATAGATTAATCTGGTGATTAATCCTAAAGATTTGAGAATCGATACTAAGCGAGCTAGTGGAGCTGGGGGTCAGCATGTAAATACCACGGACAGTGCTGTCAGGATTGTTCATCTTCCAACAGGTATGTACTTATTTTTTTAACATAAAACTAAAGAGTCACTTTCTGAAGGACTTGACTCATTTTCCACTGCAACAGACCCTTTTGTCACCCAAGGACTATATATTTATTAAAGACAGTTATTGATTACTTGATTTAGAATCTGCACATGATACTCTGCAGGATAATCTCAAAGCCAGGAAAAGAGGGAGTTCTGAACCCAGGGAATTTCCATATTAAAGACTATGAAGAGAAAGTACAATCTTTCTAAATGGCCTTCTGAAAATTATATTTAGTATTCTTAGCTGTTTAAGAAAAATGATCACAGTGAAGTAATTATCACTGGTTATATATCTGAAAATGCTCTAAACCACTGGTTCTTGTCTCTTTTGGGGAGAGGGCAACATGGACTCCTTTGAGAAAATGAAGCACTTGATGTCCTACCCAGAAACATACCTGTATACATGCAAAGTTTTGCATATAATTTCAGGGTCATCTTCCCATTGAGTTCATTCACACACCTATTAGGCAAAGGGACTGAATCTAAATCTTTAAGTCCCCACTATACACCAAGTGGAACTAAGTGTGCTTTATCAGCCTTAATATAGTGATTTACATGTTATAAATGAGTATTTGGAATTAGCAAACTTCTGCTATCTAGAAAGAATATAAGAACTTCTGTAACTGATCTCAAATAGGCTTATGTCCTATTAACAAGAAGTGGTTGATGGGAGTGCTAGATTGATGTTTTTGTTCTTTTAAATATGGGAGTATCCTCATGTTAAACTTCAAGGTCAAATTTTATGTAATATAGAATATAATAACAGTAATGAGAATAAAGAAAATCCTCAAAAAACATTAATAGAGTTAAATGACTCAACTTTTTTCTATAATTGTTATTCAAAAACTTATTGTAGTTAGCTGAGACTAGGAAAATAATCGAATGGTTTATGTTTATTGTTTAATTATATACTTCTTCAGTATGCAAATGCATTTTGCTATAGTTCAGACTTAAATTTCACTTTTGATAAACTATAAAAAGCTATTTAAGTTTAAAGTCTCCTTTTTATGTGAGGGTCCTGTTTTTCTCCCCTGAAAAGATAGAAAAAGAATGAGAAGGAAAAGGAGTATTCCTTCATATTAAGTAAAGAAGATTTTTCTATTAAAACTCTAATTCTCATAAAACTATTCAGGTGTTGTTTCTGAATGCCAACAAGAGAGGTCTCAACTGAAAAATAGAGAGATGGCTATGAAAAAGTTGCGTGCAAAGCTGTACAATATGCATCTCGAGGAAGAAACAAGTAAAAGATACAGTGCTAGGAAGATCCAGGTAAAATTGAATTAAAAAAAAAAAATGTTTCCACAGGATAGAAAATGTTCTTAAATAACTGAGTTTTTTATGTCCAAATGCTTTTCATGTATTGTCAAAGGTAGAAAACAACTCAAGTAGGTTGACTGAGGTATATACCTGTATTATAGTAATTTTGCTCCCCTGCCTTCTATATTCAAAGGCATTCTCAGATTTTGTCAGTTACTGAAAAAAAGATATTGAGTCCCATTCCCTTAATTTTTAACCCTTTGAAAGCCAAGTATGGTGGCATACATCTTTAATCCCCTGGGGAGGCTGAGGTAGGAGGATCACAAGTTCAAGGCCAGTCTCAGCAATTTAGCAAGGCCCTGAGCAACTTATTGGAACCATGTCTCAAAATAAAAGATTAAAAGGGCTGAAGATTCGGCCAGTGGTAAAGGAACCCTGTGTTCGATCCCTAGTCCCAAGGAAAACAAATTTTTATAACTCTTGCAAACTGAACTGAACTTTTTTCCTATTTAATATTTAATTTTGTAACTTACACAGCCCTTTTAAGACTTCCTCAGTACGGGGCATTCATCATCTTATCAACACTCAAGATGGCTACATTAATTCACAGAGATTATGTATACAATGTCACTATGCAGTAGACATCATTTGTCTTATTTTTATGTGGTAAATTTAAAGTTTAATCTATTTCCTGAACTCATAGAGCATTGAAGTGGCAGAGACAGAATTCAAGTATTAATCTTTATGATTTTAAAGCCCACATTCTTTTTTCATCACATCCCATGTCATTTAGAGATTCAACATGTTAAAACTTGAAGACATCTTGTTTTGTGATTCAACTGTAAATCAAGAATTTAGTGAGAGTAAGTTAAGTTTGTAGGTCCAAGTTTTCCTGATCTAATTGTATCTCATATCTTTCTTTATACATGTATAGGTTGGAACTAAAGGAAGATCAGAGAAAATAAGAACATACAATTTTCCACAGAACCGGGTCACAGATCACAGAATAAACAAATCACTGCATGGTCTTGAGACTTTTATGCAAGGAGATTATCTACTGGATGAACTTATACAGTCACTGAAGGACTATGCTGATTATGAATATTTACTAGAAATTATTTCCAAAAAAGCTTAGGTTGGTTTGTTATTAAAGTATTTCATGCGCTCAGGAAAATACTATGGCACATCAATTGTGCATACTCATGAGTATTCTCTTAAAAAAAAGTTTTTACAATGGTAAGCAATATACATATTCGTAATGCATAATTAATGTAGATCTCAGTGCATTAGTAAAACATAATGATTGCTGTAAATCTTGCGCTCTTCTGTACAAGAAACAGATAAACTCATTTGTTTCTGTAAGATCCTTAAAATTAAATATTTTAATATTTAATCGAAAAATTTCTTTAACTCTATTTTGAAAAAAACTTAAAATATGACAGTAGATACCATATTAGTCAGGAGACGGAAGCCCTGTCATTAATTGAATTGGTAATGGAATTAACAAGTGAGAATAAAAGAACACTTAGTACACTGAAAGAGAGTACCCTAAGACCAAGAGTACACAATGTAAGACCACCCTTGCAAGGGTCTTTACTTCCCCATGATGTAGTGGGGCCTATTAGAAGGTGTGGGTATATCCCAGTCAATGATGGAAAGGTTCCTGGTTTGCCGAGGGCCAGAGCTGATATGTAGCTGGTGCATTAGCCCTTGGCATTGCACCTCAAACTCTGAAGGACTGGTAAGCAAGGAGGTTTCTGCCAAAGTATGAACAAAACTGATGGTAAGCCTTAGTGCATTTCCATATCTAGGGTCTTCCAGAGAGGCAGAACCCTAGGATATGTATATATAGAAAGATAAGATTGACACACGATTATTAAGGTTGAAAAGTCCAAAATGTGCAGCACGAGGGAGCCAGCTGGAGACCTAGGAGAGCTAGTGGCGCAGTTCCATTCCTAGGTAGTCGACTAGAAAACTCTCGCTTAGGGGAGGCTGGTCTTTTTATTCTGTTCAGACTTTCAATTGATGGGATGAAACCCATTGACATGGAAGGAATCTGCTTTGTTCAAAATTCTCTGATCGAAATGTCAGTTTTAAAAACTGTCTTTTAACACATTTGGGATTTTAACAATAAATATTTAAAATTAGGCTGGGAATGTAGCTCAGTGTAAGGTGTGCTTCGTATGTGTGAGGCCCTGGGTTCAATTCCTGGCACAGCAAAAAATAAATAAGATTTAAAAATAAAATACATATTGGTGTATTATAAACACATGCAGAATAACTGGCAAATATGATCTGTGAGCTGACATGGGCTCCTACTTCATTCACTATTTATTCCTAATTAATCAAATGGAATTCTGGAAACCCATGAAACTTGGATAAGAGTACAGAACCATAACTGAGGCAGTTTTGGAATCCTAATTCTTAGTATTTTAAGATCCCTCAAATTTGTGTATGTTTGCCAAAACACACAATACAACTGTATTAATTAAAAACCATGCATTGTCACTGCTTATGCATGTCACCACCATGCCTACATCACTAATGTTGACCCCTCTGCCTAGAAAACTTACTCCACTTACTAATGCAGATTTAAGCTCCAACCTAAAAGGCATCGTGTCCCCTATAAATAATTAACTTCCCTTCATCTGTATTCCATAGTACTTTACTGTATGCTATGTGTAGTCTGAATGTGTCCCCCTAAATTCACATATTGGAAATTTAGTTTGCAATGCAACCGTGTTGGGAGGTTTGGCTTTTGGGGAAGTGTTTGGGTCACGAGGGAGGGCATGAATGGATAAAAGCTGTCATAAAAGGTCTTGAAAAAGGGAGTTGGGCCCTTTTTGCCCTATCTGTTATGTGAGGACATAACACTCAAAGTACCCTCTTAGAAGCATAAGAATCCCTCCGCAGGTGCTGAAGCCTTGATCTTTTTTTTGATTTCTTAGGTTCCAGAACTGTAGGAAAATTTGTTCTTTATACATTACCTTATCTGGAATTGTTACAGCAATACAAGACAGACTAAGATACCACAATATCTGTATGGCAACAGTTACTTCAAAATATTAATTTACTGGTTTATTTGTACTTTTATTAAAGACAAAATTGTGTGCTAAGGAATAGAAAAGGATGAGTCAGCTGGTGCCCAACCTAAGGTGGGTACACTACTGAGGATTTTTCAGTTTTGGGGTGGGATACTCTGGAGCTTCAGCTCTTAGCCACACAATTATTAGGGCAATGAACACCCAAGATTCTACACTGCTGTAGTGGGGTATTCTGTAGGTAGGTGTATGAAATCCATTTTTAACTTGTTTATGGGGACATAACCCTATTTTAAGGAACATCTGTTTATCTAGACCTTACACTATCTCATTAATGCATAAGATTGTGTTTTCACCATTCTTGTCTCTTTAGGACATAACATCACAAGCAGTAATACCTGAAGTATTTTTTTCTAGAAATTTGGTGTATTGTTCATAAAGAACCAAAACTGAAATGAACTAATCAAAACTCTATTAGGTTGAATGACAGTTTTGAAGCCATAGATATCTTTCAAATGAAAAATCATAATCCTCTATAACTCACCATTAATGGTACCACTTTCCCTCTCTCAAATTTAAAATGTAGACCCCTTAGATTCCTCTGCTTCCCATTCAATTTACTGCTAAGATCTATGTCCTCTCATCCTCTCCAATTCCATTACCACTGACTTGTCCAGAATTAATTATCTCCTGGTATACTTTATTAGTTACCTGATTTCTCCTTGCATCCTCTCTAGATGCTGTATAATGCTGGCTACAAATAACCTCCAGATTAATCTGTCTACAAAACAAGCCTCTGATCTCAACATTCCTTTGCTCAACACTGTAATAGGTCCCCACTGCCAAATAAAACTACAACTATGCATACAATACATCCATGACTGGCATCCAGCATTAGAATGACTCCCCATTAGGGAAGTGATTTTATATATCCACCTCCTTATGCTCCGTCAAATTAAAGACCCTTGCATGTAACCTTTCCTCCATTTTGTTCCTTATACTGTAGATAGCCACCTCCTCCAATTCTCTCAAAAAGATATCCCCACAGCAGTGGTTCTCATTCAGAGGAGGCTTCACCCCCACCTCAACTCCCATGGAATTTCTGGCAATGTTTTAAGACAATTACACCTTGGGAAGGTGAATTAGAGATGAGTGATGCTGCTGAACACCCTGCAATGCACAGCATAGACTCCACAATTAAAAAAAAAAAAAATTATCTAGCCTAGAATGTTAATAGTGCTGATGTTGAGAAACCCTGACCTATGGATTACTCCCTTATCCTGGCATAGAATCAACCTGTGTTCTATAAAAATTCCTCACTGTAACTTCAAATGTATTTGATCCATCCAAAGTTGTATTATACCCTTATGTTGTGCACCTAATTCCATCCTGTACTTCCTGACTCCTTTATTAAAAAAATGTTTAATGTTATAAAGCAAGCCCACAAATATTAAGCAACGAGGGTAAGTATACCATGTTTCAATTATTCCCATATACATCACCCTATATGTCTTGCATGCACTAAGTCTGCAAAGAGCAGTTGATCACCAAGAATAAGGGCAATTCTCTAAGGAGTTCTTTTGCACCTAAAAACCCTGCAACTCTGGTGTTGATTTGCATAAAAAAGAGGTCTGTGCTTCTACTGACATTTTCTAACTTTAATCCCTTAAGATGAAATTAACAGGTGTCATGAGCCTGTTAAAAGTATCAGTTAAGAATAATCAAAGCTCAAATCACTTAAGTAATAAACTGAAAAGGAGTGGTACAAATTATTCCAACATGTGACTAACTATGCTTGACTATATTACCTTATTAAAGTTATTTTGATTTTTCTAATAATATGTCAGCCTTTTTCAGGGGGGGGGGGGGGGAATCCTGCTGAACAACACTTGTAAGGGGTGGTTAAGAGACAAAGGTTATATTCCATGTGCTCAACTAGTTTAATGAGAACCCTTCCCTACTCTCAAATTTCCTACCTCTGCCCATATCTGAAAATAAAGTGAATAAAGACGATTTCTAAAGTCAAACAGGGAAGTAATGTAAAAATTTTTAGTCAACAACCAAGACCCCAGTAAATGTTCCAAAGCATAACAGAAAAAAGTAAATGGACTTTCTGAATCTCACTCCTAGTTGTCATGAGTTTGGTCCTTTGAACCTTTCATCTTACCATGTGAGGACTGTTTGTCAGAAATCTTCCCACTCAGCAGTTTTAGTTCCCACAAAGTGAGAATTGACTTCAAAGCACAATCACCATAAAATAAAAATAATGCCAACATCTTTAACGAATTAACATTAGTTATTAATGTTAATGTTAGTTGCACAGTACATAAAAGAACTTTATATAGTTTTAATATTCACTCAACAACTCCTATGCTAAAATCCATTGGACAGTTACTCAAAGCAAGAAAAAACTCTTAAAAGTTTACATGGAAACCTACAACACCCTACAGGATCTAGCTTCTCCCTACCTCTCTGGTAATTATCTTCCACTTTCCTCCTTGCTCAATGAGTTCTAGCAAGGCATTCTGGTCTTCCCAGCTCATGTAGCTGTCTGCACTGCCAGCTCAACATGTAGACAATGGTTCAAAGCGTCAGAAACTGTTCTGATCCTCCAAAGTTCTTAAAACCTATGTCTCTCTCCTCCCCATTCTTGATTCATTGTTTTATGTTGTCTTAATGTTTCTTAATGTTTACTAGTATTCTTGTCAATTTAGAAAGACTTTTGTCTTGCTAACCCAGTATTTCCAGGACCTACCACCAGAGTCAGGCTAGAATAAGGTGAATGGGACACATGCTTCAGGTACAAAACTTAAGGGGCTAACATATTTTAGTACCCAAGATTAATATTACTTTAATGGAACATTAGAAAAAGAAGATGCAAAAAATATGAATTAATTATAAAAATTTTAGGTAAAGATGGATCCAGCCAGCACTTGTATGACTCATCCTAATCTTGGCCCTGCCTCACACAGGAACTGTGTGAACCAACTGCATTGAACACTAACTGAAAGCCAACTGCCAACTCTCCCTTCCTGAGACTACAGGAAATTAAAGGAGGGGAAATAGTAAAAGGCGGGGATTTGGGTTTTTTGAAAGCATACATCCTGTAGCTTCACTTAAGGAGCCAAAACCTGAGTCCAAGGAATGCACCCTCACCACTTAGGCGCATGCTCATATAATACCAGGTTCGGCATCAGTAATAATATGGTGCAATATGTCAGCAAAGATTTAACAATTACTACATCCACTCCTGTCATCGCTAGGAAAAACATTCACCCGGCCAGAGGTCTTCAGTTCAAGAAAGTTGGAATTTTATTTCTTTGAATAGCACTAATGTCTCTTGCACTTAGCCCACGGAAAGAAAAATCAGGAAGGCATACATACAAATTCAGTACACTTAACGTCGGGGTGGGGGGTGGGGAATCAAAGGTGGTTGAACAACTACAGCCGAAAATACACGTAAACGCAATAGCAAGGATTCACGTTCCGCCACGCCGAAAGGCATAAACACCAGGCTCCAGTCTCCCGCCACAAGGCGACTAGCTTCAGGGGCCCCGCCTCTATACAAGGTCGCGCACCTACGTACCGCTACCTGCTCCGCGCCCGCCGCGCCCCGCCCGCTCAAGAGGGAACCGCGGGGCACTACAGTGCGCAAGCGCCAACCCGCCAACTCTCTGGCCTCCCGCCAAAAGCGCCTGCGCAGAGGCCTTAGACGAGGGGAGGGGCAAAATTAGGAGGGAGAGGTGAGCGCGCCTAAATCCTAGAGAGGCGGGCTCCGTAGGGCTTGGGGGAGGGTTCGTCTTCCGGAAAGCCTGGATTCCCGGACGACCAGAGTCGCCGCTCACCGGACTCCCGCTTGTGAGACGATCGAAGAACGTTGGATATCGTTTGTTCCCGTCAGAGATCTTCGGAGAAACCAGAGCTGTCTTCTGGCTAATAATGGGGCTTGAAGGAGGGCCGTTCCCAGGACGGCGGAGTGAACTGCGGAGGGTGTACGCACGCGTGGTAGGCTCTCTCCACGTGCAGCTGGACCGCGGGCTCCCTGTCCTCCTAGGCCCCGCCCAGGCTTCAGCATCTTTGGGGACTAGTGGAGCTGGATGGAAGGGGGTTGGGCTTCGCGGCTCGGCCCCGCCTCAGCAGCCTTCAATTGGGCGTGGACGAGGACGTCCCCTCCCACTGCCTTCCTATTGGCGCGCGCGTGCGAGAGACGCTCCTCATTGGGCCGCGAGGATTTGGGCACCAAATTCAAAGATTTTAAAAGTACCAGCTGGCGCCTTTTAAGAACTACAGCCCTGTGAAGCAGGCACACGCTTCGCCGCTGGTGTGGCCGAAACCACACCTGAGGCGGACCCCAAGTCCACTGGCATGAGCTGGCGCCCCTGCAGCTGCGTCACACGGCCTTTCTCCTGCTCTTGCAGCTCTTGCTCCTGCAGCTCCAGCGCGCTGACAGCCGCCGGGCGCCCTAGCTGCCCAGACGGTGAGTGAGGGGAACCCGAGTGTAGTAGCGCATTCAGTTAGGGGTGCATGATGAGGGACGCAGTCTGCTACACCTGACCCTGCATTCTCCCCAGCCTGGTCGCGTGGCCTCTCGCGGGACCCTGGGGCGGGCGACGGTCGCGATGGTTCTCAGATGGGGAGGAGAGAGAAGTCGGGGGTTCTGAAAGGGGAGGCCAGATGTGTTGGGAAGCGATGGCTAACCGCGGGGTCCCGCCGCCCATGCGGAACCTGGGCTGAGCTGCGGGGAGGTAGGGCGGTGGCAGACCAGGCTGCACCTAATCCCGGGAAGGTCGGCCCGCCCCACCCGCTTGAATGGGCGCCAAAATGCCCCCTCCCCGCCCCCACCTGCGCTGGAGCTGACAGGCTGGGCGCGGGACACCCCAGGGCCGCCAGGTGCCTGCCCCTCTCCCCGCGTCCCTCTCCCCGCGTCTCCCTCCTCGCGTCTCCTCGCCCCCTCTTCTGCATCCACGCACACCTCTCAGCCCAAGCCCGCTCCCGGATGCTCCTCCTGGGGCTGGCTGGCGGGCGCGGGAGATCCTGCTCGCGGTGATCTCCCGCCTCCGGAGTCCGGCGCCCGCAGGGGACGGCCCACCCACCCCGCCGGATTTTCAGGGTCTCCTCCCCACCCCCGCCAAATGGAGCGGCCCCCCCCCCCCCCCCCGTCCCACATCGGACCAAGCTCCATTGGGACATCCAGACAAAAACGTCAGTTTTATCCTTTTTTCCCTCTTTTTGCTCTGTAACTCAATCTCAAGGCCTAGATTCGAGAGGGAAGGGTTAAAATAAAAGCACTTTTTAATACAAACCTGTGAATTTGTCTAGGGTATTTAGCCAATTTGTGAGAATTGAAAAAGTGATTTTTATTTGGTTGTATTCCTGAACAGCTACATAGTCCTTTATTACAAAATTTAGGTAGATTGGAGGACACTCCAACGCTTATTTTTATCTTCTTTGTTGCCATCTCTAAATGAAGTCCTAATGCATATTTTACCTCACAAATGGCCCCAAATGGAAAAAATAGCAAATCTGTATTCCAGTGTTTGGTAATGTCTCATTCATTAGAAAAGGAATCAAGTAGTAAAAGAAATTAATTTTAACGGGTTCAATAATATATACTTCTAAAATATCCTGGTACCTAACTCTGCCTTCGAAATTCTGAACGTTGATGTCTTTATGATGGAATTTTTTTTCCCTCTAGTTTTCTAACTACCTTTCTCTCTTAAAAGCATTTACTGCTTCCAAGGTTTTATTTCTACCTGTTTACAGATTTGAGAAAACTAAATATCGCATCCAAATACTTTTGAAAGTAGGCTTTCCTAAAATTTTCTGTTGAGGATTATGGCTGATTTACAGCTTTGGCCATAGGTCTTGGCTCTCAGATTCTTAAGGAATGAGCATGTGTAGCCTTGTGCACATGGTGGCTTCTATAGAGTGTCTAGATTGGGAAGTTAAATGGAAGGTCAAATTTGTAGAGTTTGTCATAATACCACTTGTTTCATGATTGAACTGAGTTGGTTAATAAAGAGTTTTTTAAAATGCAGTATTTGAGTATCATTAGTATCTGTTTTAGGGAAAATGAGAATAGTAATGGAAGGACACTGTTCCAATTAACAAAGGCTGGGCAGGTATTTTCATTTGAACTTGGATCTGTTTCCCAAATTTTTGCTTTGGAGGATATTTTACTGCTTTTAAATGTTAATGATGTGCAACTTGAGGAGTATAAGGAGTTTAATTTCTTCCTCCCATTTTATAGATGAGGAAACAGACTTTGAGAAAAAGTCAGTGCCTTTCCCCAACTCTGTAAATAAGGCTGTACATTGGATGGCTCAAACCTTAATTCCTAGGGTATTGTTATTTCACTTTCCCTGGTCATCAACATCCAGTACATTAGCAACATAATTAAGTCTTTATCCTCCTACAAAATAGACCTTGAACCTACCCAGTTATCTTCATTTCCACTGCAGTCGCCCTAGTCCCCAACTCTACTCCTATGGTAAAATACTTTACTAACCTCCTAGCCTTCACTTTTACCTTCCTGCACAGCTTCACCACAGCTACCAATGATCTTTTTAAAATGTAAACCAAATTTCTCTCCTTTATTTGGAACAATGCAAAGGTTCAACCTACCCTATGACTGTTCCACTTCTCCAACATTATTTGAGTCATTCTCCCCATCTTACTAAGTTGCAGCACTATTATTACTCTTTTTTGAACATTAAGAATTTACATTTTGCTTGCCTGTGTTTCCTTGCTTCCTTGTGTTTCCCTGAATCTGGAATTTTCCTAACAGATTTCCACAAGGCTTCTAGATTTCAGAATATCACCTTCTCTAAAGGTCATCCCTGATTAATGTCTTCCTCACTCCATACTATCATTAAATATTGTATAAATGAATGAAGAGGCAGAACTGGACTCTTGACCCTATTTGCTAACTTCAAGAGGCTATAGAATCAAGTAATAGTCTCTCCCTTTATCTGGATAGTATCAGGTCAATTATGGATACAGATAGTTCCCAAAGAGTTTGGGAACACTTGACTTGGTCTTTGGAAAGTACCTGACTAGTTAAAGGCATGCTCTTAGCCTTTGCAAGCAGTTTACTTCTGCTTCCTTTCCTGTTGACAGTGGTATTTAAATCAACCTACTTTTCAGTATTGTTATGGAGATGAAAAATTCATTACAGTCACTTCATATGTTAAAATTAAATCTACAACCAGTATCCAGATTTTATTTCCTTTCTCAAATAAAAACCACCAAGAGCATCCTGTAGAACCAAAAAATAAGGAATGTTCAAAAAACAAAATGATGTGTCATTTGCAGATATGTCAAATGAAAGTCAGCACCAGCTGAAAGAGCTTGCCATAGTGAAAGCTGGAACAAGTTGAGAAAAAAACTTAAGTAGTATTGGATTATGATTCAAAACCCATGAGTCTATGCTGATATAAATGGTTGAAAAAGGAAAGAAATGGGATAAAATAGATAATCTGCAGAGAGATTCCAAAAGATTATGTATTTACTCCCCTTTGAAAAATAGAAATTTAGACAAAAAGTACAAAAGTCAGCACTTCTCAGAAGTGTAAGCTGTATAGTGATTTTTCTTTTTAAATACTATGATATCAGGAGGTAACCGAAAGGATAATAACCTGATCAGTTCCGCCTGGTGCTTAAGATAAACATTGGAAGTGATAAGTTACTATATTAATAACTTTTACCTTCTATAGGACGTAATGACAGCATTTTATTTGTGTCTTTTTTCCTAAAAACCCACAACCCCAAACCGTAAAAAAACATTAAACAAATCCCCATTGATGGGCATTCTATAAGGAAAGTCAGAAATTGGCACAAACAAGGGGTGTCTACCGGAACATGACAGTGGATCTTGGATGGGATTCTGGAGCACAAGAAAGCAATAGGTAGAAACAGAAAACAACTAAAATGTGTATTTTACTTAATAATGCATCAATATTTGTTCATTATTTGTGACATGTACACCATGGTAATCTGAGTTGGGTACTGGTGCTGAATGTATAGGGGATTCTGTACGGTTCAAATGAAAATACAATGGCTGGCGTGTAAGGCTCTGGGTTCAAGCCCAGCACCAAAGCAAAAAAAGAAAAGTGTTGGCACCATAGTGATAGGTACAGATTCTAATCTTGATCTTAGGAAACGGCTGACATTTTATGTCCGTCTTCATTGTGTCAGGCACTGTATTGTTTGCTTGAGATTGCATCATAAGCAATAGCAGTTGTGTTAAGGAGTTTACAGTAAGCTTACAAATTTAAAATTGATTGAGCTAGGAAACAAGGTTTGATGTGGTCTAAGAAGACCCCTCAAAAAAATAAAATGAAACATGAAGCTTTACGTGAATAATAAACTAGGAAGGAGTTAATCAGACAAAGGCAGCCAAAAAGATATTCTGGCAGAGAAAATACATACCTTGAATGAATATAAAACTTCTTGCATCATAAATTCTGGCTTTTTGGTCACTTGTAAACAGGTTTGTGCCACATTCCCAGGTGAGATAGTGGAAAAAGCAGGGGATTTACAGTCCAGTGATATGGCTTTCTTATCTCATGATCAGATCTTTTGCAATCTACTTAGCTGAGCTTGACTGTGCTCCATTATCAAAACAGGCTAATGATAACTTTTTTTTTAAGTGAGGACTAATTAGTTGTTTGAGGATATTGGAAATCACAAACTTTTAAACAAATATAAAATATTTGAATCATTGCTAGCTGTATTTTAAAGGACTGTCTATTTAAGAAATTGTGTTGAATAAAAGAGGTTCTATAGGACATTCTTCCCAAATCTGGGTTCTAGAAACAGGGAATATACCTTTGAAAAAGGAGTTCCTGGAGGTCAGCTTCACGCCTCTTTGCTTTAGGCACCTAAAGTAAAAATTATGCCTTTGATAGGCTGCTTCTGCTTTTTTATCTTCTCATATAAATTGTGATCCTATGTAAATCAAACTTAATTCTCTAGTTGAGACAAGAATAGGGAAAAAAGCCTTGATTGGTGTTTTTTACCAATAAAGGAAACCACTTAATTTGTTCTTAGGATTAGGGTTAATTGGGAAGTTAGAATTTATTTATGTACTCTTTTTTAATATTTTTTTAAGTGGGCAAAATATCTTGTATTTTACATTTATGTGGTGCTGAGGATCAAACTCAGTGCCTCAAGCATGCTAGGTGAGCACTCTACTGAGCTACAACCCCAGCCCTATTTATGTACTCTTTATGTCCCTGAACTCTTAGTTAAAACTTAATTTTTAGGTTTAGTGGGATACTAAAGCATAGAACTGTCACTGTCAAGCATCAGGAAGTTAAAGGGAGCCTCCAACTGCAAGTTTACTTGATAGAAAGGTATATTTGTACTTTGGATTGAAAAGTTTTGCTCTCAGTAAAACCAGTTATATTAATATGGACAAATTACCAATATTTAATACATAAAAACTGTAGTTTTCTACTTGGGAATAAAGGAAATGTTGCCATTACCACCTCCTTTGTGCTGTATTTTGTGATAATTGGTTACCGAAGACATTTGTTGTTACACCTTGTGGTTGGGGGCTGCTACTGATGTCTAAGAGTAAAGGCTGCTAAACAGCCACATGTCCGGGGAGCACATAAGAGCAAGAATTAAGTGAGTAGAGATAGAGAAACCCTGCTTTAAAGCTGCCTTTTCCATGTGTCTTAACTAATGTCTTAGGCACTGAGGATTGTGTAAAAGCACTGATTAGATCTTTCACTCTTTTAAGGTTAAGATTGAATCAGTGGCAATATGTAAATCAATGGATGTGTAACTGACGTGATTCTGCAATCTGTATATGGGGTAAAAATGGGAGCTCATAACCCACTTGAATCAAATTGTGAAATATGATATATCAAGAACTATGTAATGTTTTGAACAGCCAACAATAAAAAATTAAAAAAAAAAAAAAAAAGAATTCTAATGAGTAATGTTCAGAAATAGTTACATGATTTGTTGATAGTATTTGTTTTTTCCTCTTATGCTACTTATAACCAGTATGTTGTCTTAAGTTGTTTAAAGCAATTGCACAGTAATTCACACCTGCTGACCTATTCCCCTCGAGTTATTAAATATGGTTTTATAATGATTGGAGTGTCATGTTTATTTGTCAAGTCTTAATTCTGACTGGTAGCTGAAGTACTTTGATTCTTTGGTTAATTAGTCATGAAACACCTTTGCTCAGTGATTGAATATAGCAACATTTTTAGCACGTTAAGCCAGATATAGAGAGATGTCCCTTTGACTGAGTTCATTCATTACAGTACACAAACACTTTTAAGTGTATCTGCACAGTCACCTAGAGCCTCAATCAGAATAAAACTTGGAGATGAAAACTGGGAGTTTAGGTATACATTAACGTATGAATGTTCAAAGTCCAGGGTAGAAACACCGATTCTGGAAATGTTTGTGATTACTTTGAGGATGATTTTAACTTTGGGCCCTACTCTTTGTCATATCACATTCCTCATTTGTTACATGTGTTCAGATGTATATGGTTCCTTTTCCCATTGTTTTTTACTTAATCAAATGTAGATTCTAAATAGTCAAATTTTACACATATATAGATTCAAAAGCAATCTGTCCTGAAGTCTTCAAGAATATGTATGTCTATAAGATTTAAATATTTCCACATGTATTGTCATTTCAATTAAACTTGGATAATTTCAGTTTTATAGGCAAATGCATGTAGGCAATACATAGTTCTAAGAGAATGCAAAGTTATTGAATCTTGCATATTCCAATCTAAATTTTGCAATTAAGAAGTAAATGTGTTCTTTTTGTAGGTTGTAAAGAAGAAGGTTTCACTTTTTCTGGCAAAATGAAGTGTGATTTTAATTGTAACCATGTTCATTCTGAATCGAAACTGGTAAAACCAGATGAAAGTGGAAGACAAGGCTCCTACACTCCTGCATATTTAGAAGGTTCTTGTAAAGACTGCATTAAAAACTATGAAAGGTTATCATATATTGGGTCACCAGTTGTGAGCTACAGGACTAAAGAACTTGAACCTAAAAGCAAACCCTTGCATAACAAAGAAAATCAACATGTGCAACAAACACTTAATAGTCCCAATGAAATAGAAGAACTGGACACCAGTAGACTTTGTGAAGACAGTGGGTATTCCTCATTTACTCAGCAAAGTATCCTCAATGAATATGAAGAGAGTAGCTTTTCACTCGAGGAAGATTTCAGAAACAGCCCACAGTCCTGCCTACTACAGACACAAAGCCCAGAATATCCCAACAAAAACTTGCTGCCAGTTCTTCATTTTGAAAAAGTGGTTTGTTCAACATTAAAAAAGAATGCTAAGAGAAATCCTAAAATAGATCGAGAAATGCTGAAGGAAATTATATCCAATGGAAATTTTAAACTCCAGAATATAATTGGCAGGAAAATGGGCCTAGAATGTGTAGATATCCTTGGTGAACTCTTTCGAAGGGGACTCAGACATCTCCTAGCAAATATTTTGACACAGCTCAGTGATATGGACTTAATCAAGTAAGTATTATTGCTTAGAGTATATGAGTATAATCTACTGTACATTTCTGTTAGATATCTCAGTATCTCAGTTCTATCAGCTGATACAAAGACTGATGTAGTAGTCTGACGATGTTTAATTGAAATAATGACTGTTTGATCACTGGCACTTATTTCACTACTTGTGTGCCACTAAGATGAAAAAAAATCTTATAGAAGTATGTATTTAATGTGATCATTATGAATTTCATGTTCACTGTTAGAAAACTGTTTCTATTGTTTGGCATCTTTTGTTTCTTTTAGTTCTGAAATTTCTAATTTATTAGTTATGTCTCTGGAGATAAACTACATATCTACAGTCTGCATATCTAATACGCCTATGACTTTTTGCCACGCTTGAAGTATAAAATATTTTTAGACCAGTTTTTAAGTGTGGGGCTCAAAGATTGTACCCTTTTCTGTTATCATAATGGGCTTTTCAAGTAGATTTCTGCTAATAGTGGTATGTCCTAGAGTACTTCGAAATGTGTCTGCACTTTTTTATCAAACATGGTATCATATATCACAATGATGGCTACTTATTTAGTGTTCTCAGATATTATAAAAAATAATAATAAAGTACAAAGAGTGATCCTTAACCTGGGTATACAAGAATTACTTGATGAGGAGCTATTTAAAAAATATAGAAACCTGAGCCCCATTTTAGACCAGTTAAACCCAAATGACTAGCCCTGGGCATCTGTCCTTAAGTCTCAAATGCCTAAAACCATTCTAATGGATAGTTTTTGAAAAACACTTAAATTTCATTTTTATACTTAGTGTTTCTCTACTATATCCATCTTAGCATATTTTTGGTGCTTTATTTGTTTCTTTTGTGGTCATTTATTTTCCAGTATGTCCAAAGTGAGCACAGCCTGGAAGAAGATTCTAGAAGATGATAAGGCAACATTCCAGTTATACAATAAAGCAATGCAAAGAGTTACTGTAAGTCTTTGCAATTCATGTTTTCTTTTTAAAATATACTGCTACTACTCTTACCTTTAGAAATAAAAGTGAAATAGGAAAGAAAAAAGTAATCTAGAAACCCTTTCCCAAAAGGAAAAATGCTTTGCAAATAATTTTAGCCTTTCACAGAACTGATTAAGAAACCAAATTCAAAAATAAAGGGAATTCCACCTCAGTTATTTATGTATTTATTGGGTTCCCTCTAGAAATAGAATGCCCAAACTAATAAGGGAGAAATAACTTAAGTTTTCATGTACTGACCATCTAGCCAATCTTGGAAAAAGATTTAATTTGCAATTCTTAGTTATTAATAGATGGTGATGGCCATGCCATCTACTGGTGATAGGGGCTATCCGGGCATGGTGGCTCACACCTGTAATCCCAAAGACTCAGAGAGGCTGAGGCAGGAGGATCGAGAGTTCAAAAGCCAGCCTCAGCAACTTAGTGAGACACTTAGCAACTCTGTGAGACCCTGTCTCTAAATAAAATATTTTTTAAAAAGGGCTGGGAATGTGGATTACTGGGTTCAATCCTCAGTACCAAAAAAACAATAATAATAATAGGGGCTATAAAAAGTATACTTTTCTTGCCAGAAAAACAGTAATATCAATATATGGAAGATTCTTACTGTGGAAGGGAAATATGTTTATATTTCTAAAATACTTGGTAACTATAGATGTGTCTAAGAATTGAGATCAATGCATGATTAAAAGTTTGGGCTTTAGAATTGGACAGGCTTAGGTACAAAAATTTGGTGCTACTACTAAATAAATGACTTTATACAAGTATTGCTTAATTCTCCAGGTTGAATTTCTTTACTGGTATTAATGAAAACTCTAGTATAAAAGACTATAAATCTGTTAAATACTGTAGTGACACTTATACTTGGCTCCTGCCTTCTACTGGTGATAGGAAGAATGACCATTTGTTCTGTCTTTGACATTGTTTAGTATTAAATACCTCATAGACTACACATAAAGTGATTTCTCAGTTTCTGATTCACTTTCCATCAAGAATTAGGCTTCAAATTCTGAATAGTTATTGTGGCTATGTTTAAGCATGTGCAGCTACGTTAGATGTAGGGATAAGTTCCTTTCAGTCCTGTTTGACCTTTCCTATGTGTACAAATCTACGTGATTGGTTGTTGAATTGATATAGCAAAGGAAATATAACTCCTGTTGAAATTTCTTTAATTAGGAAAACAGCATTAAGTGTTCACCACATGCTTCAACCAGAGAATATGTTATGTTCAGAACTGCATTAGCTTCTGTTCAAAAATCTGCAACACATATTCCTCCCCCCAAAAGTGTGCAAACAAAGTTATCCAGTCAACGTGATCCGAAAAGTTCTACATACAGTCGGCACAATGAATTCTCTGAGGTAATTTTATGTTTAATCAATGAATTACAAACATGGGGCATTTACTTTTTTAAAAAACTTTTAAAGAAATAGAAAAGAATTTTTCAAGGTCAAAATATAACTTAGCTCTTAATACTAACTAATGTATTCTCTTCTAAATTGGAAGAGATGTTGATGTTCATTGAAATTTAATTATATCATAATTAGAACAATTAGGGAATTAATAGTTCTTCTGCCCCCTTCATTTCAACTCCCAGAAATGGCTTTAAAAGCCAGGTGCAGTGGCACATACCTGCAGTCTCAACAGCTCAGGAGGCTGAGGCCAGAGGATCATGACTTCAAAGTCAGCCTCAACAAACTCAGTGAGACCCTGTCTATAAATAAAACACAAAACAGGGCTAGAGATTTGTCTCAATGGTCAAGTACCCCTGAATTCAATCCCGGATACCCCCCCTCCCCCGCTTTAAAAAAAAAAAAAAAAGATGGCTTAAAAAGAACTCAAGGTAAAAGAGCACCCAGCTCCTCAGTGAAGCTAGGAAGGCTTTATAGAAATGGTGGCATTTAAGTTATTCATTGATGTGCAAGTAGCCTTCAGTGTCTATTTAAGACCTAGCCTGAGGTAAAAGGCAATATATCTAAAAGTGGCAGTGGCCACTGAATCCCCTGACAAGTAATGCTGTCACCCATTGAACATTTAGTCTCCTTAAGGGAAAGAAGTCTTATGTGTGATGGTAGTGCTTTAAATATGTAAGGGGGAGCAGAGGTACCCTTCTTGTTTTTACTATAACTAAATTACATTCAGTCCTTACTGAAATTTATGGGTTTTGTTCTTTTTTTTTTTTTAAGGTTGCCAAGACTTTGAAAAAGAACGAAAGCCTCAAAGCTTGTATACGCTGTAAGTCACCTGCAAAATATGATTCCTATTTACAACGTGCAACCTGCAGAAGGGAAGGCTGTGGATTTGATTATTGTACAAGGTGTCTGTGTGATTATCATTCCACCAAAGACTGTGTGAATGGCAAGCTCCTGAAAGCCAATTGTAAAATGGGTCCTCTTCCTGGTACTAAAAAAAGCAAAAAGAATTTACAAAGATTGTGATCTGTTATTAAATCAATTATAAATGTGCATGAGGGTTAGTTAGAAAATGTTAGGTTTTAATCTTACCCCCCCAAAAAAATGGTTGTGATTTTTTTTGCTTTTTATATTGAAATCAATGTATCTGGGATTTTTCCCCCAGTAAATACAAGACACACAACTTCTTAAAATATTTTATGACTTAATGTGAAAAAGCTTAAAATTCTCAGTACAAAACAAAATTTAAATATTTTTTAAAAAAGGGAAAACTACATAGTTACTATCTACTAGCATTTGAGACATCTTGTTTCACTAAATTAATGCCAATTAAAATATCAATTTCTGGAGTCTGTTAATTTAAATGTTTGTTTACCTTTCTTAAACTTTTTTTTCAGTGTATATATTTCTCAAGAATGTATCCTTTGTAAAGTCTTCGTGTTTTCCTTATTTCTGAAGTTGGTTTTAATATTTTTGTATATGTGTAAATATGTCTATTTTTATGTGTCAAAGTAAAAAATAAGTGTATTGTATATACCTATAGATAAATTTTGTTATGAATAAAATTGTTATGAACTTAATAATATCTGCCTTAAATTTTTATGGTTATCTTAATTCTAGAAACGAAAGAGGTTTGGAATTAAGAAAAGGCCCCTAAAATTTAAGGATGGAACTCCCAGATCATCTCAATAGGCTCTCAGAGAAGTTTTAAGGGCTTTGCCCTTCATCTCAGCAGAAGTCAGGTGGCAATTTTCCCCAGGTGGGGTAAACTCTTCTTTTTTAAGCAGCTTTATTGAAGTAAAATACCTCAGTTTCCATGTGCATAACAACTATGAGGCTTTCCCAAGAACATAACCTTTCCTAAGTTTTCTCTACTGTTCTGCAGTTCCTCCTGTCCCTTCCCAGGCACTCACTGATCTGTTTTCTTTCACATTAGTTTGCCTTTTCAAGAGCTTAATATAAATGGAATTAAAATGTATTGTTTTGTCTGCATGCTTTTGCTGGACATTATTTCAAGATTCATCCAAGTGTGGACACCAGCAGTCCATTTCTCATTAAGCAGTATGCTGCTGTTGGATATACCAGTTTTATTCACCCTTTGATTGATGTTGGCTTTTCCCCTCATTTTTTGTTTGGTACCAGGGATTAAACCCAGGGGCGTTGAACCACTGAACCACATCCCCAGCTCTTTTATATTTTTTAATTTAGAGACAGGGTCTCTCTGAGTTGCTTAGGTCCGAGCTCAGTTACTGAGGCTGGCTTTGAACTTACAATCCTCAGCTGCCTAAGTTGCTGAGATTACAGGCATGTGCGCCACAGAAGCCGGCTTTTGTTTGTTGGTTTTAAATAAGGTTCTATAAACATTTCTCTATAAGTATATTAAAAGTTATTTTCATTTGTCTTGTGTAAATAAGAGCAGAATGGCTAAATTATATGGGAAATGTTACGTTTGTTTTATTTTTAGAAAAGATTTTATTGTTTTCCAAGTACCAGTACCATTTTATGTTCTCAAGCAGTAGAGAATTCCCTGTATTTCACATTTTCATCAACACTTGCTAGTCAGTCATTGTAATTTTAACCATTTTAATGTGTGTGAAGTAGTATTGTTTTAATTTATATCTTCCAAATGACTAATGTTTAGCACCTATTCATGTTATTTGGCTTCATACATTTTCTTTGGTGAAATGTCTATTTTTTTTTTTTTTAATTGATATCTGAGAATATATATTCTGGATCAAGAACTTTATCAGAGTGGGCCTTGTCTCTTCTAGTGTCTTTGGAAAAGTTTTCAGTTTTTATGAAGTTGAGATGATTAGTTTTCTTTTCTGAATCATGCTTTTGGTGTTTTTATCTAAGAAATTTACCTAGTCTAGGAATATAATAATTTTTCTCCTGTTTTCTTCTAGATATTTTATAGTTTTCAGTTTTACACTTAAGTTTATGATCATTTGCAGTTTTGAATATGATGGGAAGCATGGATTGACACCTGGCTCCTGTACTGTTTGCATACAAAGCTGCTGTTTGTTCACTGAGTTGTAGCTCAAACTCCAACATTATTGCCTTCATTTCTTTAGTTTGGAAGTCTTGAAATTGGGCAGTGACAGCCCTTTATTTTTCTCTAAATTTTTTTCCTGCTGTTTTGTTTCTGTTTTGTCCATTCTGTTTTATTTCTGTGTAAATTTTATAATCAGCTTTACCAGTTTATTTTTTATAATAAGCATGAAATACATGATGGGTTTTGGCTGAGATTGTAACAAACCCAACAAGGAGTTTTCCAATGATGAACACAGTAATTCTTCCACTGATTTTAGCAATGCTTTATCTTTTCATTATATGCACATTTGTGTCAGATTTATCCATTACATTTTTTATGCTAAATGACTTTGATTTTTCGATGATTTGTTCCTAATATATTGAAATGCAATTTGTTCTTATATATTGACCTTTTACCTTGAAACCTTGCTAAATGCAATAAGTTACAATTTTCAGTCTACCAGATTTTCTATGTAAATTATCATATACAAAAAAAAAAGCTTTATTTTTCTTATTTTAATCTGTATACCTATTTCTTGGCACATTTTACTGGCCAAAACCTCTGGTATAATGTTTGATAGAAAGGTCAAAGGAGAACTCTTTTAAATTTTATTATTTATATATTTATTGGTACCAGGATTGAACTCAAGGATGTTTAACCACTGAGCCACATCCCCAGCCCTTTTAAATTTTTATTTAGAGATGTGTTCTCACTAAGTTGCTTAGGACCTTTCTATGTTGCTAAGGCTGGCCTCAAACATGAGCTCCTCCTGCCTCAGCCTCCTGAGTCACTAGGATTATAAGTGTGTCAGTGCACCTGGCTACATTTCTAACATGAAGAGAAAATAGGGTAGGGAAGATGAGAAACTTTAAGCATGAATATGGAAGAAGCAGGTGATAGGAAGCAGATACAGCTATAATAAAGGAAGAATAAAACATAAAAATAAATTTTTTAAAAGTAGAAGAGGGAATAGGAAAATTTAGCTACTATTGGGGAAAAAGAGTGAAGAAGCCGCAAAAAGAGACAAAATTCAAGGTACAAAAACAAATGTAAGAACAAAACAACTCAGACCACAATATAGTTTTATCTCACGTAAGTAAAACCAGGGCTAAATAATAAATGAAGAAAAGAAGCAATTAAAATGAAGCAAAATTATATGAATATATATATTAAATGTGTTCACACAGTGAATGCATGGCACACAATCAGAATGGGGAAAAAAAGTAAATTAAGTAATGTTTGAAAAATTTTAAAGTAAAAAGGGGGAATGTATGGGGGAAAAGGGGTAGACAAAAAAAAAGAGAAATATAGGGCTTTTTTCCTCCATCAAAATTCTTGGCATGGGTGGATTTCCATTTTTCATTTTTGGGCTCTGAACCCTTGGCTCAAGGGCTGGGTTGTTTAGTCCAACATCTTTGTCTTCCTTGCATGTTGCCAGCTGTTGTGGCCAAGAGCCAAAGCTGGTTATAGTAGCTCTTAGTTTCCTGTCTCCCAGATTGGGATGGGATAGAGGGGTGAATACAGACATGCTGTGTACTCCTGCATTGGGGTTGGTGTAGAGCTCTAAACCAAAAGTTCCAGTAGTTGGAGTTTAATCCAGCTGAACTTTGGAATTCTGTTGGTGGATATTTTAAATTTAATCCACACCCTCTATTGCTGGGGAAATACCAATGGCTGAATGTCCATGTCTCAGGCCTCCCATCCATTCTACTTTGAGAGTGCAGAGTCTAAACCTTCACAGGTCTCACATTCACCACTATGGATGTGAATTAGCAGGGATGAGAGCTGGATTGCAGATGCTTCTGTGTGGCCAATAGCTAGCTGTTATGGGGCATCCACTACAAAGGGAGCTTGCTCTCCTTAGCAGTTTTCTTTGGGCCTATTTGAGTCACACTGGTCCAGGTACATTCTGGGGCTCCTAGTAGATGCCTGCTGAGTCAGCTGCCACTTCCCTTATGAGTTCCCAATCTCCTGCCTTGGCTTGCTGTCAGGCCAGGCTTATAAATAGTTCCTGTGCTGGTGACCCTGGTTTCTACCCAACTATCTGCCCCCATGAGCTGAGTGATTTTGGTTGCTTTTCACTCAATGACTTCTTCCACCAACTCAAGTCCATTAAGATCAGCCTCCCTCTCTGTTCCACAGGTTCTTCCAGATCAGTTTTTTTTTTTTTTTTTTTTTTTCCTGCCACACTTTTTTCTCTGCCTGCACTCCCCCTCTGCTCAAGCAGACCTGGCTGCCACCAGCTCTGCCACCCCAGGCTGGCATGTCTGTAACATATCATAACTTAAATTCTGTGTCTCTGTGATTTCTTTTACTGTCCAATATTGAATTTCAGTGAGTTCCCTTAGTTACCCACCTTGCTTTTCTAAGTCCAGTGCTAAGGAACTGCTGGGCTGGGCTTCTTTCCTCTAAACCACCATGTTCTCTCCTTAAAATTTTCCTTAACTGTTAATGCCATTGGAAATGGAATTGATCCATGATTTCTTTTTTGGGTATTTCTTGTTGGTTTATACAAATGCTGATGATTTTATGTTAATTTTTTAACATTAAAAACAAGTGCAACTTTTACAAAAACCAAAACCAGACAAGGACACTACAAGAAAATAAAATTACAGGACAACTCTGTTGAACAAACATGTAAAATTCTTAAAAAGATGCTAGCAAACTGAATTGAACAGTACTTAAAAGGGTTGTTTACCATGGCCAAGTCAACCTAAACCTGACATGCAGATCCATTAATGTGATACAACACATAGACAAAATGAAAAAAAAAAATCACATGATCATCTCACTAGATGCAGAAAAGCATTTGACAAAATTACATGAGTAAAAATCAGGTATAGGAAGAATGTAAACATCCTTTCATGATTAAAAACAACTCAACAGCTGGTCATGGTGGTATAGGCCGGTAATCCCATCAACTCAGGTACTGAGGCAGGAGGATTCAAGTTCAAATCCAGCCTCAGCAGTTTAGCAAGGCCCTAAGCAACTTAATAAGATACGGTCTCAAAATGAAAACTAAAAAGGGCTGGGAATGTGGCTGATTAGTAAAGTGCCCCTGGGTTCAATCCCCAGTACAAAAGAGGGAGAGAACAAAAGAAAGTGAACAATTACTTATAGATGAGCAGAAGTCTTGTCTCACACTCTTTGTTTCGCGATACTAATTAATACTGAGAATATCTGGTCTTCCCTGGAACTCTTGAGACTTGGAATTGATTGGCCTGGATTTGATATTGGCTTAGGCACAGGGTTATAAGCCAACAGGTCCTTGTGTAAAGGGCTCAATAAAAACGGAACTCACATTCCCAAGCCCAAATAGGTTTGGGCTGATTTGATCACAAAAAGGGATTATTTTAA